CCACAACAGTGAGAGGCCCGCGTACCGCAAAAAAAAAAAAAAAATTTCCATGCTGGAGCAATGGAGAATCATTGTAGTTCTCTGATCAGGAAGTATTAGATGGTTGCAGTAGCCCAGTTGGAAAGGAGCTGAGAGAGATGGAATCTCAGGACAAGAGTTGACGAAGGATAAGTTGGGCAATTTGTAATTTGTTGTTTTATAATTTGAGGTTTTTCCATCAGGAAGTATTAGATGGTTGCAGTAGCCCAGTTGGAAAGGAGCTGAGAGAGATGGAATCTCAGGACAAGAGTTGACGAAGGATAAGTTGGGCAATTTGTAATTTGTTGTTTTATAATTTGAGGTTTTTCCTTTGAACGTTTTATAATAACTGTTTTGGAGTTTTGCTTTAATAAATCCAATTCATCAGCAAGTCTTATCTGACAACTTCTCACCGCCTTCTCCACTGACACTGGTCCAAGTCATTTCTGGTTTGAGCTGTTATAATGGTCTCCTGCCTAACTAATGCCTCTAATTCCACTGTGGCTTGCCCACACCTAATTCCTCACTCGGCTACCACAAGGATCTTGTAAATCAGATTCTTTCACTCTCATGCTTGAAACAAAATGGTTCCATCACCCTTGGAATAAAACTGCAGCTTTTATCCTGAGGCCCTATGTGATCTTTGCCTCTTTTTCCATCATTCTTTCCTGACTCACTCCCTCTGCTCTAGCCCTACTGACCTTTTTTACTTTTCTTTTTATGTATCAGACTGTCTCCTTCCTCTGGGCCTTCCTTCCCTCTGGAATGCTTTTCCCACAAATATCAATATTTCTAGATGTCAGTGCATCACTCAAATATCTGCTCAGATATCACCTCCTTAGAGAGCCTTCTCTGATCACCCTCATCTAAATCAGTTTTTCCTCTCCATTCCACCCTCTGTCATTTGTCTCAATATATAACTTATATCTTATCTCCACCTGAGATATACATCATATATTTATTTCTTTAATTGCTTATTGTCTATTACCCAGAGAATGTAAACTGCATGATGGCAGACACTTGGTTGTTCTTGTACATTGTTCTATACCAAGAGCCTAGAGCAGTGACTGGCACAAACCAGGTGCCCAATAAATATTGCAAAATAAATGAATAAAAAGAAGATAAGGTTAATTGTTGAACTGTAGTCATCGTAAGAGATAAAGTATCATCTTCATATATTCAATTTCCTATTGCCAGAAAAGATTTGCAAACAGAGGAAGATTAGTCAGATTTCATTTGCCCTGAGGAACTTAGAATGAAAAGGAAATGAAAGCCTTTTTATTGGTGTTACAATGTTAGATTCTCCCAGTGCCTTGGAGGAAGGTTAGCGAAAGACTAAGGGATCATGCAGAAGATGCCAGTGAGGATGATTCTCTTTATGGTTCTCTTCTTGATGCAGGTTACAGTGAAAGCAGATACAAGCAAGAAACACTTACCAGACAAACAGGATCACAAGGCCTCCCTGGACTCAATGCTGGGGGGTTTGGAGCAGGAACTGCAGAACCTTGGAATTGCGACAGTGCCCAAGGGCCATTGTGTTTCCTGCTGGAAACCGATTGCTGGAAAGGTGGGATAGGCCAAGACGTTGATCCTACAGCCGTCTATGTCTGTGTGTATGTCTGTCTCCATCCCACTAAGGATTGCTCTTTCTCCTTATATTGTAAGACCGTTTAGTAATAGTTACTGATCCCTTACAGTGCTCCAGGCACTGAACAAAGCACTTTACAAGTATTCCTTTATTTAATGGTCACATTAGCCCTTCAGTGGTCACAAGCCCTTTATAAAGATGAGGAACCCGAGGACTCAGGGTCATTAACTGACATGTCCAGGGTCTAGTAGGAGGTAGAGGTAAGATCCAAACCCAGGAGAGTCTGGTTCCCGAGTTTGAGCTCTTAACCATTTTCTTGTACGGCCTTCACCCAGAGGAACTTTCTCACTGCTCCCTCTGTTCAAACATTCTGGGTGTAAATCAATTGATTTCGATTTTTAGCTGCACTCGGTTCCATATCATGGCCACAGACTCCTGCTCGGGCATCATCCTTCACCAAAACCATAATAAAGGGCTTTGAGACCTGATTTTGCATGGGGTGTGAGATGAGGTGTTCAGATCAGAGGAATAAAAACTGTCATTGGCCTTCTCCTCTTCCAGGGATCCCTTCCATGCCAAGATATAGTTAGTTATCTCTTGTCCATCACTACTATGCTCTATTTTGTTTCTCCCATCCTCTGGGGCAGTATAGTGGAAATGATCATTTATAGGCTTTTCTCAGTGTGATCACTCAGGAAAGTTGGGCACTGTTTTACTATCCATAAAGTACAGACAAGAGACCACATGGGTAGAACCTAGGTCTAGGCCTCAGTGTTGTGTAACTCCAGGGGGAGTCGTTTACATGGAATACTGTTGGAAGAGCGCCCTCCAGAGTCGTACCCCCTATGGACCCTAGAGCCCCCAACTGGGCCCCCACTTGCCAGGCTTTGTTTTGTTCTCCAGGTGATCCATGCTCTAGGGCAAGCATGGCATCCGGAGCACTTCGTCTGTGCTCACTGCAAAAAGGAGATTGGCTCCAGTCCCTTCTTTGAGCGGAGTGGCTTGGCCTACTGCCCCAAGGACTACCACAACCTTTTTTCTCCACGCTGTGCTTACTGTGCTGCTCCCATCCTGGATGTAAGTAAATTGCCCTTCCCCCTGCTTTCATGTAGCTTTTACTCCTCACTTAGAGCTGGGGTCATGTTTTACAGCTCTGTAGCATTTTAATCTGTCCGGTGTGTTTCTTTTCCAGAAAGTGTTGACGGCCATGAACCAAACCTGGCACCCAGGGCACTTCTTCTGTGCTCACTGTGGAGAGGTGTTTGGTGAAGAAGGTATGGCCCAGGGTGGCTACAAGAAGGCCAGCAGAGCTTTTCCCTGATCTGCTCTGTTGGTCCTGGTTCTTGCCTCTACCATCCAAGTGCCCATTTCAGTACCAAATGCCATCCCTCCCTACCTTTCTCCAACGTTGATGAATTTTGTTTAAGTTGACTTTTTTAATCAAAGAAGTACAAATGCATAGTTTAAAAATGCAAATATTACTTCAAGAGTAATATTAAAAAGAACAGTCCCTTGCGTTTCCTTTTTCCACTGCCCAATCCAGTTCTCCTCTGTAAATCTTTTAGCTTCCTCTATTATTCATTTGTATGTTTTAAATAATATATTACTATATACTGATTTTTTTCCCCCAGTTTTAACCATTATGTATTAACTTTCTACCAGGAGAGATGAGGATTTAGAAATTTTATTGCTACCCCACCTACCCCCAACATAATTCCTCCCCCATTCTCTCAGTTATAATTAGGTCATAACTATAGGTCAGATCAGTATTCAGTGTGTATATGTTGACAGTCACATAAATATTGCGCACAGCTGAGCCATGTAACAAACTGATATAGTAGAGCATGGATTTTGGGGTTCAAATCTGCGCTGTGGTATTTATCAGCTATGTGATGTTGTTCAAGTCATTTAACCTCTTTGTACCTCACTTTCCTCATGAGTAAAATGGACCTAATAATAATGCTTACCTTCTAGGGTCATTATTAAGATTTTAAGAGACAGTATCAGTATAGCGTTTACAGCAGTGCCTGGCACATGGAGGCTGGTAATGATGATGATTACCATTATCATGGTGTCCTTTTCATATACATTTGTTTCTTCCTGAAGTTAATATTTGGATCCCTTTTTCATTAGCTTAATTTTCATTGTACTTATCACTAATTTATCTGACAGAGCTGTGAAAGCCTTCTCAAAAGGGCCAGCCACATCTGGTAATATGTCAGTTCCATGAAGATGTCTCTTCTTGGAGACACATCTGTCCAGGAGGCTTTGACCCTTCTGCTCCTGCCTAAAACGGTTTCTCCTCAGGCCTGCTGAGAAGCCATTATTCTGGGCCGCTATCTTGGGAATTATTTTTACTATTTCCCTCTATCTTTCAATACATGTTATTGCCTTTATTTTGGTGGAGCACACCTCCAGTAGCTTCTGAGAAAGAATGAATAGGAGGTAAAAGTTTTGAAACCTTGAATATTTGAGAATATTTTGTCTACCTTAAGTTGCCCTGACATAGAATTCTAGGTGGAAACTATTTCCCTTCATCATTCTGAAGACATTGCTTCACTGTCTTCCAGCTTCCATGGTTGAGAAGTTTTTTCTTAAAATTTTGTTCTTGTTCCTGATCCTTTCTATGTGACCTGTTTTTCCCCTTTTGCAAGCTTTTTTTCCTTCTGTTTTCTGAATTTCCTTGATTTTTTTCTGACTTCTCTTCATGTTTCTTTTGAACAAATATGATTCATGCATGGAATCAGAAAACTTCTTTATTTTTTCTGTACCTGTCCTTTTAGAATTAACTCAGTGGGAAAAGTTTTCTTCTAAATAAAGATTTGGGCAGCCCCATGTCTTTTTTTATTGTTCTTAATAAACCCTTCTAAGTAGAAAGTCAATTTAAGACACAAAACACAAATCTAAGTCCTTAGGTAATTCAGTCTGTGTAAGAGCTAAAGCTTTCCAGCTTTAAAGTGACAGCTACTCTCTCCCCTGGTGGGGCCTTTAAGCTGCAGGAGGCCAGGGAAGGGGGTTGTGGCCTTTCATTGGTCCTTTCTTGCTTCCACTCTCATACCCATTGCTAATCTTGATAGCTGGCCCTGCCAGGGTTGAAACAGGGGTGGAAGAGGTGAGACTGGAGGGCAGGAAGGTTCTAACTTGTCTAATTTGCTTTGTGCTCTCTGGGCCTGGCAGATATTTAACTCTGACTTTCCTTTTTTACTTGGATGTTTTTGTGGATTCAGTCCGGATCCAATTACAAATTCTTGGTGGCCCTTTACATGTCTTGGCTGGCCGTTCTCCCCTTAGTACATGGATCATTGAGGATCCGTTCCACAGAGGCTCTTTTCTGCAGGATTTTCATTGTTCCCTCGAGGTGATCACTTAGAAATGATTATAATGGTTCCAGATTAACTCTCTCACTCATAGTTTCAAACATGGACCATGGGAAACTTGCATATTTCTCTTGCAGTCAGCGGGGACTGCAGTTAATTTCAGGCGCATCACTCTATTCAGCTGCCATAGGCCCCTTCAGCCAGATGCTCACCTGGGATGAATCAAGTACCATGAACTGTATCCCGCTCATGGCAGGGGACACATACCCAGATCTCTGAGTGATCCCATGGAATTCCCTCTCTTGACTTGAGGTTAGCCGGAACCATACTGCACGCTTCTTGGTGGTGGTGGTGGAGCACACATAGCACAGTTTTCTCCAAAGAAATCCCTCTCTCAATTTCCCCTTCTCTTTACCTGCTTTATATCCTAGGTGTGAGTGAGGAGTTCAAGATTTGTGCAAATAGTCCGTGGCTATCTACTTTGAGCGATGTCTTGCAGCCCGCTTTGAACTTTGACGTCTGTTACATCCTGATGCCTTATATCTTGTTACAATGGTCTTTGCCAAATGCTGCTGACCTTTGGTTGCCCATTTTTTATTTAAGAATAATTGAGACACTAACATGCTAACTGGAAGCTCTGTGGGTAAGGCAGAACGTGTTGACTGGTGGACTCAACTATATGGTACTCAGGTAGGGTGCTCTGGCCATTTTGCTGCGGGACCCCTGACTATTAATATTTTAGGTCTTTCATCTTGAATAAATTTTACCAAAGAGATATTCTCCTTTGTTGACATTACAAAAGTTAGTAAAAGAGATTGGGTGATGGGGTTTTCACCATTCAGCATGCCAACTTTTATTTAATTCTCAATTTTTAGTAGAAAGCTTGACTTCTTTTCTTATGATGTCCAGTATCCCTGATCAATGAGACCCTCTGGTTTGAAATTTATAGAAATAATCACTGCATCTTATGGTAAGATGAGAGATCTGATTTTCTGACAGCTCTTCAGACTTTCAACCAATCCTGTTTTCAGCCTTGAAGACTATTTTATGCATTCAGTTCCTGAGCCCCTTTGATGTTTTGGAGCTCAGGCTGGCTTGAGTTTTATTGGCACCTCCCCTCTTCAGAGATTTAGGTTTCAGCTTGTTTTTTCTTTCTGCCAAGCTACATGCCACTCTAATACCTACTTTAAATTTTGGAGAATTTTATTGATATCTCATCTGTGGCATGTCCTTTCCTTTTCTCTTTTGTCCTATGAGTCTTTCTGTTTTAAATAATTCTTTAACTATTGTGGTGATTTTTCAAGAAGGCGTGAAGATAAACCTGTGTGTTGTGCCATTCTCCTGGAGGTCAGGTCCTAAATATCAGGCAGGTTATTTTGTATATTCCTAACTATTATTCATTTAATCCCCACGACAACTTTGAGAGAATAATTTTATCCCACATTTTACCAAGTTATAGATGGAAACACTGAGCATCAGGGAGGTAAAGTGATTTTTTTAAAGTCATGCAACTAGAAAATCAAAGAATTGGAATTTAAATTCAGGTCTCATTTCAGCAAGTTCCATGTTTTGTTCTGCGCCATCATAACTGCCCCTTGACAGAGACTCAATCCCTCTTCTGCTGTTGCTGTCTCTTTACTTTCTTGGCACCAACACGGTACACTTTATTTGAAGACAGACCTGAATAGAGTAGCACGGATAAAATCCATTGTCAAAGTGCTTTGTAGTAATGTGCTTGCTCACTGAAGCTTGTTCAATGCTTTTCACAAATCATTAGGTCTTTCAGTTTTAGATTTTGCACTTTGGTTAAGCAGCATTTTTCACTGAGATTTAATCTAAGTCATGGTCAGTTTATATTGCACTGGTAGCCTTAGAAGTCTGAGGGTTTTTTGAGTAGAACAGTCATCAAGTGAATACTGCTCACAGATGGTTATGATGTGGAAGTTGCCTGAGAGCAGAATAACAGGATGCAGACATATTTCAAGAAGAGACGTAAGTTAGATACAAAAGAAAAATACCCTATTCATAGGATGATCAGAAAGTGCCATGAAGGTAGCTAGTTCTTACTGTTTTTGACTTGGACCCCTTCTAACCAGACAAGGCTGATTTGGTCATTTATGACTTTACATGAAAATATGAAGCCACACCTAAAACATACTTATTGAGACAAGTAACAGAAAAGGCCATTTACTAATCAGAAGCTCCTCTTGGGTTGTATTTTTGTTTTCATCCTTTGTTTTCTGCAAATGGGTCCCCTGCCATATGGTTAGTCCATTAATTAGTCCAAGGCATCCTGCCTTGCCCCAAGTCACATAGTCACACACAAAGTTTCTGTAATGACAGCTTAACTACTGAGCCTCCTGGGAAATTAAATTCGTCTGCATTTTTGTTTCAGTTCAGGGAATTCCTCTTTAAGGTTCAAGTTTCTAAGCACATTGGGCCTTAGCATCCTCAGTGCCTATGTCTTTCCTTTTCATTGTTCATTATCCAGGCCATGCAGGTGCTCCCTAATTTCCCCTGTGGCTAAGAGCCTCACCAGAGTATAAACACCCTTCTTCCCTCTAAGGCACTTTTAATTGTTAGTGTTTCTCATCCATCCTCCAGAGGTAATTGGCCCCAGAGAGAGCCTCCAGGAAAGTTAGTGCTGTAACTTCCTCAGTTTATTGGATTACTAAATGCAGGGGTATCACAGCAAGTTTGGCTGATTGCTTTTGATTCCTCTCCTGAGACTCACCTGAGTTGAAACGGAGGCTGTTACTTCTCCGCTGTCTCATTCTTGAGACCAGATACCCTGTAAATGCCTAGATGAGTGTCATTCCTAGGTCAGTCGGAATGTCTTATAATTTTCTCAAGTAACGCCTACTTATAGGCAAGCACAGTTTTACGCCATTTGCTTTATGAAGCATCAGCTTCACCTTGGGGACTTGTCAAGAATGCAAATTTTCGAGCCCCATCCC